GGGAAAAATCCTAAGGTGTGGCCACGCTGGTTGTGAAATATGCCAAGCACAGAAAGTGTATGCTGAGCAAAAACGCTTACCAGCCAAAATATCATAACAATGTGTGTGGTTTGTGACTGGGTCACTGCAGAATGTTGCTTGGCACACAAACTTGCTAAGCAGTATTTTCAGATCTGCCAAATTTGAAGGAAAAAATGGATTTATGGTAAGCGGTCCAATATGTGCTTATTCTTTTTTTTTTTTAAGCAATTAAATGCCAAATACTATGCATGTTTATTTGACTGTATATGAAGGTCTGGAACCCTGTCCCTCCATGGCACATACTCAACCTGTTTTACTCATCAAAATCACATATTAGTTGGGTTCTGTCTGAATCAGGCATTTTTGTCCGTGCCACAAATAGTTACTGTTGCTGGGGAAAAAAGACGAAGCCAAATATACCCAATATGGAAAGAATCTAAATTTAACTTATATTTTGTTTTATTTCCCATTTTTGTTTTTTACTATATCGAGGTACACTTTTCTGTTTTTCTTTCTTATTAATAATAAAGATATTATATGATATATATGCATGAAGTACTAGCAGCTTATTAACAGTTATTATATCACCATTTTAATTAAAGCATGTTCCAAAAAAATTACGTATGTAATCTCATATTTATAATAAATTTCATTTTATTTAATGAATACTTCAAAAGAGCTTTATGTAGTAGAGTGAATAAAATGCCATAAATGTTGCGCCAAAGTCGGTTTTGTGTTTTACTCAAAAAGTGTTGTCTTAAAGAAACTTGTTTATTTCTTCAACTTTTTACCCCTGTTTTTTTTTTACTTACAAAAACAACTTTTTCCCCTTCAACCACTATAGCCAAGGGATTTCTGGCCACTATTAAATGTCAACTTTTTTAAAGACAATGTCAACTTTTTTAAAGACAATGTCAACTTTTTTAAAGACAAAGTCCTGCAAACAATGAACTTTATTTGTCTGTTATAAGCTATTTATTGAGCAATTTGAGATTCAATTGAATTTCATTCAATCGCAAGAATTAACTGAATTTCCAACTTGATGTCTTAAACAAGGAAATACAGAGAATCACGCAATGTTTTGCATATCAGCCAATTAAAGAAGCTCTCTTTTTCAACAAATTATTACAGAGAATACATTATTACTTTTTTTTTGTACCTTGTACGGTCGAACACAATTTGTGAGAATAAAAAATCGGCTTGATACAATACACAAAAGATTTTCATAATTTATCACGACCATGCTAAATTCAACAATATCCCACGGAGCTGAACTTCTGTTGGATATTGGAGATGTCATATTTGACCCTTGGGGGGGGGGGGGGATAGGAATAAATCTCTTGCAGCCCCCAAAAGTGTAATGTCTACAGTGCCGAATGCTTAAAATGGAGAACAATTTTGGAAGCGAAAGGAGAAAAGAAACTGGAAATCCTATTAAAGGTTTGAGTACATCATTTGCAGCTATCCAAAAAGTCACTGACAAAATTATTGTTTAAAAGCTTACTGAGTTTAAAGATAGTAATGGCAATAAGCTCCATGGGAAATTATTCTTTCTGGCATGCTGTCATTTTGAAGAAAACAATAAAAGAAGGCCATTTCCAAAGATGCGTCAAGTGACGGCTGAATGAGAACGTGTCCCGGATGCTGATTTCAGGCGCAATTCAAAACATGACTCTGCAACTTTTGAATTGAAATCGAAATCCTAGAATATTGTTTTATCAGAAAACATAGCATTCACTGAGTTCAAACTTCATCAGGTTAGTTGCACCCGTCTTTAGATTTTGAGCACTTTTGTTGCTTCAAACGAAACAAATGCACAAATGACAAATGAATTACCCATCCTTTAAAAAAAGGAAAACGATCACACTTAATAATTATTGATCAAAACTACTACCAAAATTGGATTTAGCAGGGTGCTAAGGAAACCCAAATAGAAAATTCTGGTTAATGTATTACAACAAAACTCCACATACATAAACACGTACATGTACCCGGAATAAACAAGTTAAAAAAAATTATGAGTTGTGCTTTTTATCAAATGAGCAATGCTTTAGTACAGAGGCAACAATATCCAAACCATCCAAAAGGCAAAAGAAAAGATGAGTTGTGCCTTATTATCACATAGAAAACGTTTGTAAATAAAAAAAACAGGTGATAAAACCCAAGCATTTTGTCACAAAACAATGGCAAAAAAATACATTCAACCTCTGTGTGCAATATACCATTTCCCAGAATGTAAAGATGACATAAAATGTAAGGTGTATATAAATTAGAAGTATGCGTATGAAAACTCTAGAACACGTCATATAGAACACTGTTATACAGTGTTCACCAGATATCTTAACTCAATAATATAATTAATGCCACAAATATTTCAGAAAGATATATGAGTAGTTTGTACAGCTTTTTTTCTTCTTGAACTGGCAAGAAGTTGGACATTACTGCAGAACAAAGGAGTTGAAAACAAGCACCATACACTACATATGCTTGGCAAGACTGAAATGCCACAATCTCAAAATTTTGGTTACAATCGCAGACATGGCATGAACTGCCTATTTGGGCATAGAAATCCAACTTGACCTCATGTGAGGTCAACACATCAGAAAGCTGTCGCACCCCACTAGCCCATCTCTGACTCTACTTTTAAATGATGGCAAGATACGTATAATGTACATGTTATTTGAACACATTGCAACGGCATCTGAACAATACCAATAAGAATTGGAAGTAATCTTTATTAAAGGAGAAGACAAAAATAAGATGTAATATTTTAATTTCTATTAAAAAACTATTTCAGATGCACGTAGATTAACAATGCTGTGAGCCAAATAATTTAGAGTATGCATAATGTACATTATTTTGGGAAACAAGAATTTAGTTCTGTTTTCATGCACGACAATTTTTAAAAATGCACCAACTTGATTTTGTAATATTTATGCGAATTTCAGTAATGAACCACAATGACAAGGCTTTGCCTACCCCGCTATGCGGGGGTGGTTCATCGGCTGTTGCCCACTTTGCTGGCAAGTTGCCCGCTTCGCAGGCGAGCGCTCTCAACATCTCATCAACACACCCACATATACACACTTACAATACAACTTTTGCACTCTATAGTATAGAGGTGATATACAGCCTGTCCCCCCCCCCCAAAAAAAATGCTGCAAGCAGAAACGGGCCCTTTGTCCTTGGAATATTGAAAAATATTTCATGATGCTTATATAATGTTAAACCTGGGATATTAAGCTTTCAAATGCTATTTGTTTTATCAATTTTGCTGTTGCCAAACCAGAGATATGGTCCGTTGAACACAAACACTCAAAAATCAATTCGTGCCACTTTCTACATTGTTAGGCCTAATAATGACATGACAAGACATGGCACCTGTTCAAATCCGACTTCAATTGAGGTTCGCAATTCCAGAAGATATGTTTTTATTATAATGATTTGGAGAGTGTGTTACAAATAATGAAAAGAACATTATAATATGACTAACAAAAGTGTTTCTTCACCGATTCATTACTAATTGTTTTTCTGCGCGATCATGCATGTCTATAATACTGGCAATACTGCTGTTTATAGTATCAACTTACGGAAAGTGGCACAAATTTATATTTGAGTGTTTGTGTTCAACGGACCATATCTCTGGTTTGGCAAAAGCAAAATCGATAAAACAAATAGCATTTGAAAGCTGAATATCCCAGGTTTAACATTATATTTATAAGCATCATGAAACATTTTTCAATATTCCAAGGACACAGAGCCCGTTTCTGCTTGCAGCATTTTCTTTGGGACAGGCTGTACGTGTAATTTAGCGGTGATTCCTATTTAAACATTTAAATAGTATTCTACCATAGTATATTATTAAGCACCTAGCTTGCCCAGGAAGTACATGTAAGTAATAATACTTGTAAGGTTCATGCAGATTTGAAGTTGTATTAATGAAAAAGAATCAGTTTAATATATAATGCATCAACTTAATATACCAAAGAATTTCTCATGTTGCAATATCCACATAAAACATCCTGAGGGAGGGGAAGAAGGGGAGGGGCAGGGGAGAGTGGGGGGGGGGGGGCATGTGCCCTCATTCTTGTAAGGAAGACGGTATGCTTTTAATGTACAAAAAAAAAGAATCACATCCCTGCCTTATAAGACATGACAAGGAATGCTGCACCAGCCCCTATCTACATTGTATTAAACACGGCTATTTAAATATCATCGTAGCCTCATTTAAATTCATAAAGACATCTTGTAGAAGATACCGACTTTGACTAGACCATCCATTGTAACTATGACAGTGGACAAGATCATACGTTGCACTTCAGACGAAAGACTAAGTCTCAAAACTTGACTCATGGATGAAGGACTTCAGCTGACAGCTTTACACAGCTCTGACTAAAATGACGTAAAAGCATGCGACTAGACAGTCATTCTATTCATCTGTTCAAGAATGCTTACTGTTTTCAGTTTTAAAAACATTTGCAATATGTCAAAAAAAGGTGCATGTTAGATGAGGCTACCCTGTTAAACAATATAAACAATATAAATTAAAATTAAGAAAATATGTTACATAGACAATAATGCTGACAATGGTGCTGAAGATAATTTTATTAGTTAAGGCCAAAAAAAAAAAATATTCGGTCTCTGGTCAGACCAAAGTTCCGGAATTGACGCGGCCACGCGGCTTTTTTTTTTCTTTTTTTTCTTCAAGCTTGGATTGTACAGACAAGGTGGGTACTATTTTGCTTTTTTGGTGTCCTCATGTACATTGGTGTCCTCCATAATTTGCCTTGGTGCTTTCGATCATTTGCCTTGGTGCAATTTCCCATTCATTGGTGCTCTTTGGTAAAAAAAAATTGAGGAGGTGCGGAAATAGAGGGCGCTGTTGGAGCTAGCGCGGAACATTTTGGAAAAAAAAAGATCGACGCGCATGATTAAAATCGACGCGCGCACTGACCAGAGACCGACTTATTTTTTGGGGGGGCCTAATAGTGATATCAATTAATGGACATGCAGTCAGGGTGGGGGGGCGAATGGAAGAAAGGAGGGTGGGCGGAGAATGGAAGAGAGGAGGGTGGATGGAGAATGGAAAAAAAGGAGGGGGCAAAGAATCTGCTTTCTCATTGAGTCAGCATGTTGACTACCACTTCTGCAATCTCCCGCTCAGTGGGAAGTCCAGGTACCTGACGCTGCAGGTTCTGAAGACCACCGCTGTTGCTAAACTTGATCTGCTCCAAGCTGTGGTTGGAAGGGCTTGGATCCTGCAAACCGCTCAGCATGAAGTTGGGTTGATGTTGGGACTGGAACGTTGGAGACAAGGTTTGCAAGACCGGTGAGGGTGATTTTTGGATATTACTGCCCCCGTTACTGGTAGTGACGCTGTTGGAAGTTGGTGCGCCGGTGGCTGGATGGTGCTTCTTGCAGTGAGATTTCAGTGTGTGGCTCTGGGTGAAACCCTTCCCACATTTCTCACACACGTGAGGTTTTTCGCCGGTGTGGACAGTCTGGTGCCGGGTCAGATCCGATTTGTTTGTGAACGCCTTGGAGCAGTGTGGACAGGGGTACGGCCTCTCTCCCGTGTGGACTCGTTCGTGGTACTCCAGCCCTGTGTTCCATTTGTAGGTCTTGGGACAGAATTTGCACTTGAAGGGTTTGTAGCCCGTGTGGATCCGCATGTGGCTTTTCAACGTATTGTATGATTGCACCTCAACACCGCATGTAGCGCAGCGTATTGGCCCGCCCTCGAGTTCCGGATGCTTTGCTATCAGGTGACGCTTCAACCGGCATGCATAGGGGAAGCTGGTACTGCAATGCGGGCACCGGTGATTGGACACCTCGTTCCGATGCTCCCACATGTGTGGGATGAGACTCCGCCTCCATTTAAAAGTAGCTCCGCAGATCTCGCATAGATATTCTTGTTTCTCCCGCGGTGCTGACTTTGTATCTTTCGGCAGTCTCTGTCTTGAGTACGCCGGAACTCGTCGTGTCCGACTGTTCTGTCTTCTTTTCCTGTGACTTTTCACAGTCTGAAGAATCTCCTTGACCAGCATTTCCTTGATGTGAGAGTTGGGCTTGTCTTCAGCCTCTTCCTGCAAACACTTTCTCTTCTTCTTGACCTTTGACACAAAGTCTTCTTTGGGATTTCTTGATCCTTCTTTCCGTGTCCCGTCTAATGCGCCGTCTCTGAGACTACAGCGACACAAAGCGACCTGCACACCGACGGACATTCCTTGCGGTTTGGTTTGGCAGTTGACATCCACGCCACTCTGACCGTGGTTGACGCCAACCGTTGATGACGGATCTCCGAGGTTAACACTACAAAGTTGGATTGCCTGACTAGCTCCATCTGCGGGATATGAACCCTGGACAGTTGAGGAAGCACTCAGTGAGTTGACGTAGGTGATACTCGATGCACTACTGACCAAGACGGGCACCGTTGATTGGTCAGATGAGCAGGGGCAGTTGTCATAGCTCCGCCTAGACATCATTCTCTGCTGCAACTGCAGCCTGCAAGTCGTGAATAAATATGGGCACACGTTAGTTTTTGAGAATGAATTATGCAAGTGACGAGGTAGATAGACAATGGGTGTATGAAACTCATGTGGGAAATATGGATGGTACAGTGTGGCCTATTAATGAGAGCCATGTCTGAACATATGTGATGCGATCAAGCTAAATGAGTCGTTTGTCGGGAATTTTTATTTGGAGATACAGGCCCAAACAGGGCCACTTCATCACATTACTTCATCACATCTCTTGGTGTTCTAACTTCCATAATATTTGAACTAAAGATGGTATCAGCATGCGGTTTTCACAGCATTAATGCTGAGTTTGTGCTCTTTTCAAATCTGTAATAAAAAAATTGTTGGCCATGGTCGACAAACGACTCATGTAGCTTGATCGCATCACATATTAGGTGCAAGCACACTGGTTCATCATGCATAAGAATAGTGTGGCTTTTGCGCAAGTGATATTCAAGTATGTAGACCCATAGTGAACTGCTTAAAGAGAAACAGGTGCATAAAGGGAATGATGCCCAAGTGTCTATAAATAACAGGTGTGCTTTGCACAGCCTTGATTCCATGGGCGCATGCGCGTTCCTTGACTAACCGCTGGCCGTGAAGAATACGTTAACGAAGCTGACCGGCTATTCAGAGCATACTGCGCACGTGTTTCGAAGAAAGGGCGTTCTATATGCATACACGCGTTATCTCCTGCGCATCATGTCACGTACGAACTTTGTTTTTTAAAACTGTGCGATGACTTAACGATATTGATTATGGATGCATTGTTTTTTCAAAAAAAAAATCCTGTATCTTGTGTTGTAAAGGGACGACAGAGGTACGTACATGTAATATAAACCCTAAGTGCCTCGGCCTTTTTGCTAGGATTTAACCTCAATCCTGCAAAATCCTCCAATTGGCCTCATGGAAAAACAACATATAGCCTCAATCCTGCAAATTCCTCCATTATTTCTTGAATATGGTCCGTGGAGGGGTGACCACTGCCTTAATCCTGCAATATGCTGCGGCAGTGACTGTCAATATGTTGAGGCTTGGCCAGTGACATCCTGAAGCAGTACGGAGGATTTCAAACATAATCCAGGCCTATATTCAAGCATGGCTGAGCAAAAAACAACACAAGGTCTGGCCCAAGACCTTGACAAAGTGCATCCTATAAAATCAGAAACGCCCTTTTGCCATATAACCTCAATCCTCCAAATTTCTTCACTTTGGCAAAGAGGAGATTGAAGGATGCAGGGCGGTTAGGGTTAAACACATTGTTTCTCACCTTTTGACTCTTTCGGAGACCACTAAGTGATGCAGGAAGTCGCTTGTCGTCTCGAACCCGCCCTCAATCTGCAACGCTCTCAGCTCATTGGTCAATCCTGGATGTAAGGTCAGACTCTCGGAGGTCGGCGGTTGCCTGTCTACCATTGCCTGGTAGTCCGCTAGTTGAGGGTAACCGGTGTAGACCAATTGAGGAGTGTTGCTGGCCGATGCAGGGATGTCACTTGTTTGCAAACTGAGAAACAAATTTCAAAACTGAATTCAAAAAGGTACACAGAAACGCCGCTATAACGAACACCACTCTAACGAACATTTGGTTATAACGAACGTCCCCACGGGCTACCGAAATAGTGAATTCTATTATAATGCACAATCACTATAACGAACAATCACTATAACGAGCAACCACTATAGCAAACGCTTTCTGTGGACCCCATCGTGTTCATTATAGCAGCGTTTCACTGTACATGCACTGTCATTACAAAGACATGGGTTAGAGACACCAGATACTACATTGAACAACAACCTTTCAAACTGTGTAATGTACAGTGAAACGCCGAGGAACAGAAAGCTTTGTGATGAAGTGATTCCCCAACTGATATTGATACAACTGTATTGTGGATGGATTTTAAATTGTGACATATCAAACTTTGACAAAAAAAAGGATAAAACTACAATAAGCCATTTCGGGGTTACAAAAATTTACTACTGTGCATGTGCACATCCCATGACAACGATTAGGGTCGGGGGATAAACAGTTCGCCACGCGCGTGCAAAATCATAGCGGGGTACCAACAAAATTAAAGAAAAGTTCTTATTTTGAAGTAGATGCAAAATGTTGATTGTTTTCAACGGCACCATGGTTTACGTTGTTTCGTGTGCTCCAACTTTTGTGCGAACAAAAATTTCCATCTTCTGTTTTACTAGAACAAATTTGCAAAATGTGGGTTTGATTACCACGTCCCCCACAGACTTGAGTGCATTTATCTGCTTTGTCATCTTCCGACACTAAATCGTTGAATCTGATGTGCGCACGTGCAGTAGTACATTTGTTTGTAACTCCGAAATGGCTTATTGTTTGTCCAAAGCCATGCACAAATACTCATCATGTTTGTGTCGGCTAGGGTAGGTAAGCTGTGTGTTATTTTAGTGATGACATTGCAGTCAGTATGGGGCGATATTGTGGGCAGGGCCGCAAGGAAGATTTTTATCAAGCTTTTGATAAATTACTGAAACACAACAATACTTCAAACCGTTTATATTTTGTGTATCTGTCCTTTTTTCCGAACCTTTTATTCGATTTCTACATGTACTTCTTAAATAAACCACAAAGGGAAAATGACTAGGTGCGGTTATATTTATTTTGAAATTGAACAAAGAAACTGAATAAAAAAGGGTTTGAACCTACGACCTCTGGATTGCAGTTCCGGTGCTCTACCAACTGAGCTATCAAGCCCGATGTAGGCGGTTCCCAATTTTGTCAGTGTCTTTGTTTCAAGGGTGCTAGTCAGAAGCCATAAACCTATACATGCTATCTAACCAGGGATCACGCCTAAATCAGGATGCTAGCAACATTAAGGCGATTAAAAAAAAAATAGTTTCTCGTCCGGGTTTTTTTTTTAAAAGGGAGGGAGCGGGGCTTTTTATTTTTTATTTTTTATTTTTTTCAAGATGACCGCCTTTTCAAAATTTCCCGCAACCGTTGGTGTTCCACTGTTCAAAGACACTTTTAAAGATGAAAGACAAGATGGACAAGAGAACTAAACACATACAGTGTCATTTAGAGTTGTATTGGTATTGGTATTTATTTTCCGATGAATTTGTAGACTTTTTCGGTGTGTTTCTACCAGTGTTGGAGGTCTCGAGGCCGGCCTCGGCCTCGAGGCCGGCCTCGAGGCCGATTTTCATGGCCTTGGCCTCGGCCTTGGCCTCGGAGGTGCAATGCCTCGGCCTTGGCCTCGGCCTCGGAGCCTTCCGGCCTCGGCGAATCGGTCAAGGCCGGCTCGAGGCCGCCCATTTTGATGTGTTTTCTATTCTAATTAATTTAAATTTTTACCGTATCAAACCCTCGAGAGTCTGCCGCAGTGGGTTCCGTGAAACGAACGCATATACAGTGTACGCACGAATGAACTGGAAATGGTTGCATTGAACGTACGGGTGTCGGACGCTTCGCCCCATTTCCACGTCGCCCCATGTCACTTCGCCCCTAACCACTTCGCCCCATCCCCACTTCGCCCCATCCCCACATCGCCCCATCTCCGCTTCGCCCCATCCCCACTTCGCCCCATTCCCACTTCGCCCCATCCCCACTTCGCCCCATCCCCACTTCGCCCCATGTAGTATGAAAAAGGTGAAGGCTAGGGGTGCAGACCAAATAAACTGCCAAAGACCCCAGATAATAAATGCTCCCAATTCTAGAAACTCAGGAAAAATACAAACTCTCTGATGAGGTGCTCGAGACACAGATGAGAGAAATGATGGCTCTATCCCATTCAGGGACGCCTCTCCTATTGGCGTGTGAATAAAATCGTCAGCCGCTGGATTCAAAAGAGTCCCGTAGGTATGGGTCAGTGAGTTAAAAGGAACTCACTGCCTTGAGGAAAATGTTCCGTCAAAATTTGTCTGATATGTGACACTTACAACTTCATTTAAATGAGATTGGTTCCTCCAAGAGTGAAATTAGGATGTCAAAGGTATTGTCGTTCTCAGATAAGTGGGAAACGGGTTGGTATAGCCGGGTTGGGAACACAGTTGGATCTTTTACTTCAAGCTTTTTTCTCGGTAGGGGAGAGCCTAGCTTGAGAGGTTGGTTATGAATTGTTTATTTGGTGATGAGCTAATTCTTTCCGTTGGTTAGCAATTAGTGAATCTATTGAAATTGTTTTTTTAAGCCAAAAAAAAATAGATGAGATTTTTTTTTTTACATGTAACGGCTGGGGCGAAGTGGGGATGGGGCGAAGTGGGGATGGGGCGAAGTGGGGATGGGGCGAAGTGGGAATGGGGCGAAGTGGGGATGGGGCGATGTGGGAATTGGGCGAAGTGGGGATGGGGCGAAGTGGTTAGGGGCGAAGTCACATGGGGCGACGTGGAAATGGGGCGAAGTGTCCGACATTCGAACGTACTCACGTACGTAGCCTCTTCGCCTAGCCTGCGCTTCAGCTTTCCATGTGCGTGCAAGCGTTATAACTGTTACCGCGTGCCAGACTACATAAGTCTGGCACCAATCCCATCTGCGTACAATAACATGTGGTAGTAGACTAGTCTGGTTGCAGTGTTGTACAAAAATTTTCTCGTTTCGCCTCTGTACCCCGACCTTTAAAAATGATTTGCGGCAAGGTGCGGCAAGCTTAATCATTTCTTTTTATAGGCCACTGTTTCAGTACAAGTCTGAACTTTATGGGTACGATCGAGTGTACTAGTCCGTACCATTTTTTTTCATAAAGATATGATAAAAACAGTTACGATTTATCAAGTAGATTTTATTTTTACACGGTGATTTAAATGAAAGTTCCGGCTCACACGGTAATGTTTGGCGCAAATGGTCGATATGGAAAGCGCGATTTCAGAATTCGTTTTTCCATCCAAATGAATATTAATGCAAAGTTCTGAATGAATGTTTTAATAATAGGAGTCAGTATTCCTCGTGGTACCAGAATACTTTTTTGTATTTTTAGAGCCATGTTGATACTTATTACATGTATAAGCACGGTTTGAAATTGACTAATTTTGCGTGGTTACAGATATACGGCCAAAACCTCTGGACTCCCTACCTCTTGCCATGATCTTAAAATTCTTCGAAGCCATTGGATTCAAATCGGATGATCCGAGAATTCATGGTCATTTTGATGAACTGAGTGATATCATGCACGCATGTTCCGTGTTGCCGTGTTGTTTGGAGCGGGATCGATTGGCCATTGCCAGACTTTGTCTGGTACCGCGGTATTAACAGTGATAATGCGTGGACACTTATCCCGTTGTGTGGAGCGGGATTGGAACTATGCTTTGCCCGTGCGTAACGGCGGGCCGTCTGGCATTGTCTGGTCGCATCGCGGTGTTTGCTCGGCGCGCACCTGGACAGTGCGAAGGTCGGGGGGGGGGGGTTGTAACTTTTTGGTTATCATGAGTGGTAAAAACCTGATTCAATAATCAAGTTGTTGTTTATTTAATGGGGATTCCTATGATATTAAGCATTTTGATAGGTTTTGAAAATAAGATTTATAAAACATGTTAAAAGTAAATAATGTAAATCTAACAGAATAGAAACTCAAAATTTGGCCATTTAAATTGTTGTATCTCCAAAGGGCAAACACCTATGAGCCTGATTCAAACGCCTTTGATTTTGTTGTGTAATTTGCTTTCAGTAATACAAAACTTGAGATTTCTTTAAAAAATAAAATTCGCCGGACTCCCTACAAGAAGAAACCTATTGCAAGCTGTAAATTTGTAAGCCAGGCACTCCAAAACTCAGTGAATTCAACTAAAAAGATGTTAAAACTCAAACATAATCTTAGCCTTGTTTTAGTGATTTATATTTTATTACGTGTTTTGATAGCTGGCCTCGGCCTCGGCCTTGGCCTCGGAGGTGGTGGCCTCGGCCTTGGCCTTGGCCTCGCGGTTGTGGCCTCGGCCTCGGCCTTGGCCTCGGAGGTTGTGGCCTCGGCCTTGGCCTCGGCCTCGGAGGTTGTGGCCTTGACTACAACACTGGTTTCTACTACATTTTTCAAAAATAAAAAATAATAAAAAAATCCAGGCGGCCTCCAAAAAGGAAGCGGGCGGGGACAAGAAACTTGTTTTTTTTTTACTTCGCCTTAGCGATGCTGCAAACCTGGGAAATAGTCATCCGGAGGTCGCAGGTTCAAACCCCGCTCCAGTCAATTTCTTTGTCCAACTTTAAAATTATTTCTAATTCTGTTATCATTCAATAACACAAGCCTTTTCATGAAACTTACTTATTGACTTTGTCTGCCTCTAAGAGATGCTGCAGCACAGCGTCATTGGGGACAGCCTCTCTGGTTGCTGGGTAACCAGGAAGAACTAGGTGGGATTGGTTGTTGCCTGGATGTGTTGCCATGGTAATGGGCAAATCTGTTGGTTCATCTGAAATCAACATAAAATGCATTTTGGTAAAAGTCAAACCTATGTTAGGATGCAACTACACGGAATGCTATGCAAAAGAATGAGAAGGTTGGAAAAACAATGCCAGATTTAAATTAGTGCTGAAAGTGAGCCCTCAGGTTTAGTTCAGGCTTGGTTCAGGTTCGCTTAGGAAATTTTTGTCCTTAGAACGTCAACATGTGTTGCTGCGGTAATATACATGTTGATCGTCTTTGTACATAATTAAAAAAAAAAAATAATTCGTCCCAAAAAATTAACAATATTGTTCTTTTCTTATTTTAAATTGACTCCAACATTTAATTACAGAGTATTACATCTTCTTTTTGTGATTTGTGGCTCCGGAGGATTTTTTTTAAAGGGAACTTAAGTCCAAAATTGTGAAATGGTCTTATTCCCATCTCGTGAATACGAAGTCACAACGACAAAGTCACTAAGCATGTTCAGTGCTGCCTTAGGCTTTAGCCAGCAAAATATTGTTTACTTAAATTTAGCCAGCTAAAATATTCATTGCCAAGTATTTCAATGAAATTCGGATCCTAAACTTCAAAATGATATAGGCCCTACATGTTTTATTTGTGGCATTCGGACCACTTTGAAATTTTGGCAGAGGTTTATGATTCTTAAGTTAGAATTGCCGATTTAAAGTAGATAGTGGATATATTGCCAGCGGTAATCCCGGCAAGCTAACGTTTACTGAAGGTTTGCCGAAAGCAATCCCTATCAACAGAGGGTGGAGTAATTGCAGAATACCCCGCCACTCGGAAATACACCCCTAAATTCTCTGGCTACGAGGTTGGAATCACTGGAAAAGAAACAAATCAAGTCCATTGCCAGCTACGCAGTAGTGAGTGGATGTCCCCTTGAGAACGAAGCAACACAAAATGAATGGGAGTTGCTGAAAAAATTCTAAGTCCAAACCAACTACCCTGTTGCCGGCTACGCGGATACGAAGTGGGAGTCCTTATAAAGTTATAATGCTTGAGAACGAAGCAACACAAAAGTAATGGGAGTTGCTGAAAAAAGTCTAAGTCCAAACCAACTACATGTACCCTGTTGGCGGCTACGCGGATGCGGAGTGGGAGTGCAGTGGAGCATGACGCATAGTACATACAAGTAGCGCTGAGAAGGTTTATTGAGGGCAATCAACCGTGACTCCGTAGCCGGCTACGAGGTGCATAGATCGAGTGGCGGGGTATTCTGCAAATGTGCCCAGAGGGTGCTGTACTCTCTATGATAGGGCTGAATTATAAGATATATTAAATTACTACCAATGGTTGTGTAGCACCTGTGGTCTAGTGGATAAGTAGCGGATCTCATGAGCAGGAAGACCAGGGTTCGATCCCCGCTGGAACATTTCTAAGGTTTTTTTCCCCCATCCCTCAAAAATAAGAATATTCTTCTTTTATCATTTTAACATGTCTCAAACATTTTATTAAAGAGTATTATATTTTCTTTTTCAGATTTGTGGCTCTGGAGGATTTTTCTTTAAAGGGAAATAAAGTCCGAAATTGTAAAATGGTCTGATTCCCATCTTGTACATGAAGCTACAACGAAAATGTTGGCATGGACCCAGACTAAAATTTGTCACCGGAAAATGTCCGAGTAAAAAAAAACCCAGTAACTGCACATATTCAGTGCATATCCGGCAAGCTAACATTTAAAGGGAATACATGTATACAACATTTGCAAACATCGAAAAAATGAAACTACCAAGTTTTTACGAAATACCTTACTAGGACGTTGGTAGACCGAAAATTTGGGACTCCCAATACTGTGTATGAGAGTCCCAAAACTTAAGGTATCCATATCGTGCAAAAGTTTGTGCTGCATAACAAAACCAGTGTGAATCAAATTTGCAAGCTTCTTACTCACTACAGTTTCTTCAATAATCCCCGAAACTTTTGCCTCGCAAAGTTGCTGTTGTGAGCATTGCATCACCAGAAATTCAGCTTTTAATTCTAATTTTGCAGAGAGATATCGAAATCCAAACGTGAGACATCACGTTGATGTGTACTGCAATGCATTGTGCAAAAAGACTCCTCAGCTATAACATTTTCATCGTGTAGATAAAACAGCGCCCTCTTGTTGATCTGAGTGAATGCAAAATGTTTCATTTTTTAACAGAGGGCGCTATGTTCATTTGGCCATCGATTAAAAAACAAGTAAGCTGCAAGGCTCTTCCTACACCTACCCAGAATACATTGGGAATCACACATACATTTCCAGAGCATGGAGATTGACGTGGATGGTTTTTGAACTGCCAAAAACTTGCCTTAAAATTGGATATCAGGTCTCAAATTTCGCAGGTGACATGCTTGCAACTATAGTATTTTGATGTATGTGTTGTGTGGGCATTAATTAGCCGCAGTGGCTATTGTTACGGCAGCCGTAATGCATTTCCCATTTTCTATCGTTACGGTAGACTGCAACCTGGCAACTTTTATAAAAAAACATGACAAGAAAATATAAAATTAGAAGGAAAAAAGTGAATTTGAACTTTATGAAATTCGGACTTTATTTCAAAAAAAATCCTCCAAAGCCTCAGGTTAGAAAAGGAAAAAAATTCGAGTGCAAAACCGAGATCCGAACCCGCAACCTCGCGGTGCAAAATCCTACCCTCTATCGGCTGAGCTGGCGCACTGCTCGATAAAACGTGTGGAAACAAATAATTATATACCTGCGTGCGTACCAAAAAAATATCGTAGAGGGCGCTAAACAACGAGTGCCGTAACGATAGCCACTTCGTTAATTAGCCAAATGGTGAGTAAAAAAACGTCAGTTGTAATTTTGCACGTTTTTATGCACTCACGGTCCCAGTCTGGGACGTTGGTAAATGACAGTCTAAAGCATCCTGTAAAATTGTGGCACCTGGTGTGAAGTCATTTTCAAGAAAATTGTATTTTCGTATACATTTCCAACGGTGGTTGGCCGACCACCATTGGAAAAACCTAACTATTTTTCAACTACTGCTCCAACTTTACACTTTTTTCAGTCCAAATTTTGTTTACTATTGGTTACATGTTCATGAACGGGTGCAGGCCAGCTAGGCCGGTTCCCTTACCTTATAAGTTTCCGGCATCTATAAATTGATCCATTTTATCTTTAGTGGAGTCAAGGAACCAGACTACTTGAACATTTTTGCTTTTCTTGGTTTTTCCAGCATTTTCGAACACAAAACTTCAAACATGTCAGTGTAACAATATTTGATCTATTATACTAACCCGTCAAATAGTTCATTTCTGAAAATTACAGCAAAAGCCAATGATGTACATTCCCTTTAAAGGTTTTCCGTCTCCGAATATCATGCATTAATAAGTCCGTAAACTGGGCAGACAAAAGGCTAAGTAATTTTGATATTATTAGGGCATGTATTAGTATATTTGGGTATGTTGACAACCAAAATTTATTATATGTAGAATTAAATAATCATATAAACCTACTCACAGGAAGACAGTCGGCAAATTAACTCAGTTTGCAGAGGTAGAAAAACGGGGAGTTGGCCGAGCTAATTTCGGGACAACCCCTCGCCTCATTCGCCTTGATAATGTTTTACGTAGGGTGACCGTAAGGTCAGAGCCAAATTCTGCTAAATGTACATCACAAATCTGTCAGATTTATCAAAAATCTGCCAAATTCCCCAGAATTACTCGAAATACACTATAAACTTAAAATCACATGCAGATCTATTGGTAGTATTGCCTTAATTTAAATTCACATTACACAATAAACAATCTAGTCACATATTGTGAAATTATTGGTAAATTTCGGGTAAAACGCAGATCCGGCCACAACGATCTCCGTAATTTCCCAGTGAACCTCGTCACCTAGACTAGCCAACCTGTGCCATTATGCAAGGGTTTGTTTAAAAGGATTGAAGTTTTTTTAAACAAACGTACCATTTTTTGTTCAAATTTGTTGTTTTTCTGTCAAATAACCATTGTTGCAGAATTCTGTCACAAATCTGCCAAAAAATCCATTCTGTCAAATTTTCTGTCAAACTCGTTTTTAAACAAAAATTCTGTCACAGTTAGCCGAAAATCGGCTAAAACGGTCACCCTAGTTTTGAGTTAACTTCGTCAATTGAGGGCGCCCTTCCAAAAAAACACAACACAATCCGATCCCACAATCGATTTGTATCCGTACCAAAGTAGACAAATTCTATAGACGTACCTGTGACAATGACGTACCCTTCCAAAAATTATGACAAATACTCACAACTCTCCAAGATGTTTGAGACACACATCAAATTGAAGCTTTTCTCATCAGCTTTCATTTTCTGTTCAATTTTTTGGGTGTTCCATCCAAAGATGATCACCTTTAGTTAGTTACAAGTAGTCCTGAAGCGCCCAGGTGGACTTCCTAATTGTACCGCCGGCACTGCTAAATGCAATGAAGAGGGCGCCCAACCTGGGTTATCCTGAAGCCCATCACGCTTTCGAAAAAGGATGCTTACGAATCATTGCAAAATAGAGACAGTTTAGGGCCCAATGTCATCCGAATTGCACGAGATCGCAGTCCTGTTCACGGCTTCCACCCTTCTTTTTGTTTTCTTTACAAACCCTCAAGTTCATCCCCACAAAATTATGTAGTTGGTGTTTTCATTGGAAAGAATGTTGCAACCTGACGCCACTTCAGCGGTTGTGTGCAAAGTGTATGGAGAGTCAAGAACATTCTTAACAAAATTGGAAATGTTTCTCAGTCCCAGATTCATGTCTTTTCATCATTTTTGCAATGACTGACCTTCAATGAGATAATATATGAAGAAAAAGAGTGGCGTCAGGTTGCAACATTCTTTCCTCCCCATTTTAAATTGGTCGTGGGTGTTTGGTTTAATTTTCGAATCTTTGGTGAGCGATCACTATACATGCGCGCTTTGGGAAAACATTAAATAAACCCTATTGTACAAAGAAACTTCCCTGGGATTTAGTCATGATTTAAGACACCTCTCTGTGTTTTGTAGTAAATCTTGATTTCCTCATATATGAGGAAAAAAACCAGGTACTCAAAATCTGGTCAACTCCAAACTGGTTTTTAGGTCCAAACAACTTTCATCGTTAAGAGCATTGACCAGTATTATAAAAAGAATATCTCAAAAGCATTTTAAAACAAAAGTACACACTCATCATTAGACAAAATAACTAAAAGTCACACATACAAATTATGTACAAGGCAAATATCTTTTAATATTCCTTAATCAAAATTAAATTAATCAAAGTTCCTCCCTTCTGGGAAAACAAAAATCCAACTGAAAAACATCACAACTGCCAAAAAAAAAAAAAATGGAACTTCAAAAAAAACCTTCTGATTCAGTATCAGACCACAGCACACTGTGTTTTCTTCAATGGCCCGGAAATTGAAAAGATTTTTTTTATAGATGCTAATAAGTGGAATAATGCATTTTGTAAATCCAAAGAACAAATCGTTCGATTTATGCAAAGACGAAATCTGTCAGTGATTCAGAATTCTACATTTGTATCTACTTTGAATTTGGTTTTCATAATTATCATTACCAAAAACAAAAACCCTAAACAAAATCTAGCAATACTTATCCCACCTGGTTTCTTTTTGATGGTTTGTACTCTTTTTAAAACAACGCTGCTCTAGAAAATATACACCTAGAATTAATAATACTTTTTATGGCACAATTTTAAAATGTACAAATATATATGTCACATAACATAATAAAAATGTTTGTGTTATATATTACAAATAGTAGTTCCATTGAAAATTACATACTTCATACAAATAAGACTACAGAAAAGGAAGCATTAGAATTCGTTTTTGTTTTTTTTCTTAAAAGACAAAATTGCAGTTTGGAAAAGAGTGAAGTTTATGATCCAATCTAAAACAAGTGTTAGGGAGGCGATATGTGTAGTTTATTTTGAAGAGAAAAAAAAAGTATATTAAAATGTTGAATGATCGTTAAGGCTTAGTATGATTTAAGAATAACCCTTTCCGTGCTTAATGAAGTAAACAAGAAATATTATTTGCAAGAGGTAAGCACCACAAAAAAAAAATATTAAGGGTAGTTCAAAAGCATAGAGTCTAATGAATTAAATATTTGGTTGCAATATTAAGTAAATGTTTGGTGTAATGCTTTCTCCTGCTTCAAATCAAATGAACAGCACATTTCGAATCAAATTTTCAAATATATCTCTAAAATCACTTATAAAATATTTTCACTGTTTAAAATTTTCAGCCATGTTTTCCTTAACAATTACAATTGTGTGTCACGGGTCCAGCTTCAATCAATCTTGGCCCAATTCAAGACAATTCGGTGTCATATCATCTGCAATTGTAATTTTTTTCCCTTTCAAAGCATTTCCTCAAACTTTGAGTCCTCGTTTCAATATACACGTACATCTTTCTGTTTATTATACCCTGTTGTTACAAGTTTGTACATCAGTTCATGTTAGACCATGAAACCAAATCTATTCACACAAAAATTTCCAACAAAATTTACAAAACTGTACATCGTATGTTTAAACAAAACAGTGATAAAAACTACTCCGTTTAGATCAACCCAACTATGACAAAGTCCAGTAGTTATATGTACATCAGAGACCTGGTTAGGTTTGGTTTGATAAAGCATAACCTTCTTAACTTAAGTTGAATTGGGCAGACAGGATTAACCAAGTGTAACTGAGTTATCATGAATATGAAGGAGTGGGACAATGCTTAACTCGGTTAGTCAACATGATGCTGATAAGAGTTTTTTGTGTGCAAGATTGGGAACGATTTTTCAATATTTTTTGTGTTGCTCTCCACAATCAATAATTAGCAGTTTTTGCAAGGACCATTAGTCGACTAGTGGTTGATTTGTGACGTACCTTATGCCTGCGCACTAATAGCAAAGTGCGAACGTCTCTGGTCGAACGCTGGTCAAAATGTCATTGCAAAACGTCTGGATCCTGGCTCTCTGCTAGCGTTATGAATGCGCGTGGCTATTGGTTACCAGCGATGCAACCAACCCCAGTAGGCTGGTTCCAAATAGTCGACTAGCGTAGTCAACTACCGTCGACTAGACAGAGTTCGGGCAAACGTTAGTTAACCATTGGTCAACTATAGTCCTTGCGCGAACTTGGCCCTAGTGTCCTCTCAATGACTGACTGACTGACTGTGACTTGTGAATAGACTGGTTGTAGGCTGATGAGAGCCGGGCAGTGCTATCTTATAGGATCAAGCCATTGTCTGACTGACCGACTGACTGTCACTTGTGAATAGACTGGTTGTAGGCTGAAGAGAGCCGGGCAGTGCTATCGTATAGGATCAAGCCATTGTCTGACTGACTGACTGACTGTCACTTGTGAATAGACTGGTTGTAGGCTGAAGAGAGCCGGGCAGTGCTATCTTATAGGATCAAGCCACTGTCGGACCGACTGACTGTCACTTGTGGATAGACTAGTCCTGATGATTTGAAAATCACAGGCGTGTGGAAAAAGGCACACCTGGATTTTCTAGGCGTGTGATTTTTCTAGGCGAGTGATTCTGTGGTCCAAGCTGGGACTGAACAATCTGGTATTTTTTTTGTACTTTTCATCTTGGTTTACAAATTAAAGCCGTTTTCTCTTCACCGACATACTTTTTTCCCCATAAATTATGAAGTATTTATGCCGTAAATGTATGCTGAGGTGTGCGGTACAGAGGGATTCAGGCGTGCGATTATTCACACTTCTCGGGCAGCTTTTAGGCGTGCGATGGCGTTGGGGTGTGATCGCACGCCTAAAATCAGAAGGACTGATAGACTGGTTGCAAGCTGAAGAGAGCAGGGCAGCAATATCGTAGAACCAATGAATAGGCTAAATCCTGCATAGAAACACTTCAAGTGAATAGCCATTCTGAATTGATTGCCGAGAAAATTCTGTGCACTCTGGGACCAGCTCTACTAGGCTTGCCTTCTCTTGGTAACATCATGGGCCTTTAATGAATCTGTTAGTTCTGATTTGGTACTTCAAAACAAACAAACAAACAAACAAATACATTGATATTAACCACCAATGCAAAAATAGCATGAGCTGCCCCTGGAAAGTGATTCCATCATATACATCTGTCTTGAAGGTGTGATGATACATCTCATGTCGGAACCAGACAAAAATCTCCGGCAGAGTTGTTGTGATGAGCCGTCGAGCGACAAACATGCGATGTGAGGCTCCATACCTAAGCTGCAGCAGTCGCTGACACTTAATGCTGCGACGACTTTTACGCTGTTTTACACTGTGATTTGTATCCTTGCCATTTCTCTCAGTTTTCATTACCCTGTCCTTGCCGTTCATGTAGATTCATGACTCTCTAATGCTGATCACTGAACAAAAGTCTGACGGCAGATTTCTACAAGTTGACCTGCTGCGTCTTCATCCGCTGTCCATTTTCATTATAACTACTTCGGAAAGTTGATCTCATCCAATCAATCTGTGTGGTCGTTTTCTGATCAGGTTTACTGATTCGTTGCTAACTTTCTCATGGCACCGACCTGTTTTAAAAAGTTTTTGACAACCGGATGCCTTGAAAGTTTTCGATTCCACTCTCAGTGCCAGGATCCTGATTTCCTGGTCGTGCCAGCCTTTCTTACGAATTCTCCAGCAGTTATCGCTAAGCTGCACAAGCAGTAAAAGTCTAAGCGAGTCCGGCAGCGTTTTCACATGAATGCCTTCTCCCAGTTGAAGTCCAATTTGGACGTCATGCTTGAGTTGCAGGACTCAGCTACTTTCATGAGCGTCTTTTTGACCCGCAGGGAGCTGTGTCTTGCCGAGGACGTGTGATACCAACATTCCTTCATCAGTTTGGAGAGTGCCACTAATGTCTGTGTTTCAAAAAGAAAAAAAAGAAGAGAGAATGTAAAAAAAAATCTTGAAAAACCTGGCCGCAATAAATTATCTCTGCTGCTTGAACAGCTCATGATAAATCAATTACCAAATTAATCACAGGGCGATCAAAAGTCAATCTCAATTCCTTCACAAGTCAACCAAAAGGTCATCAATCGTTAAAGTCAATTGCAAATCAATCACAGGTCGATCAAAAGTCAATCACAAGTCATGAATCATAGTCAAACGTCCAAACAAGTCATTCAGTCTCCAGTCACAAGCTATTCAAAAGCACTGTTCATCTCCTGTTACTTCTATTAAGACATGACCTGTGTTTGACATTTCATATGACTCATGATGGACTTGTGATGGACTTAAAACAAAAGATCCGTGGTGAGTTCCTCATTCAGCTGTCAGCCCCACCCCAATTGATCCTAACCCCCTTTTGGCTAGGAACCGTCCTCAATCCTGCAAATTCCCCCAATTGCCTCCATGTCAAAATTGGATACAGCCTCAATCCTCCAAAATCATCCGTTATTTCTTGAATTTGTTCAGTGGAGGGGTGGACCATTGCCTCAATCCTTCAAAATCCTCCGACAATCACTGTTAATGGGTTGAGGCAGTGCCGATGACATTCAGAAGCAGTGCAGATGATATCAAGCATAATGCAGGGCTCAATTATGCATGGCTGAACATAAACAATGCAGGGTGCAGTATACAAACTCGACACAATTCATCCTCCAAAATCAAATGACACTTTTGTTTTGCCATTCAGCCTCAATCCTCCAAAATCCTCCAAAACCACCAGGAGGATTTTGGAGGGAGGACTGAGGGTTACGGTGTAATTTTTTGGCATTTCTAAATTTTTACGCAAGCTAACAAATCACTCTATAACATTTAGTTTTTTTGTACTGCTACATGTAGTTTACGTTCATTTTTTTCCCTTTAATGAATAACAAAATAACATCAAAACAAAGTGTACAAGTGTTGAAAGAAATCATCTGTTTTGTACATGTACACACATGTAGGCCACACTATTTCCCATAATATTTTCTGGAGCAAATGAAAATAAAAAACCCCTTGCCACGACTTTGCCAAAATTGAATTCAACGATATCTCTGTAGGCTTTTCACTGAATATCAGCCACACTTTACATATGAATGATTATGATGGAGCGCATCGTGGATGGGGTATGCATTCCTATTTCCGTTTCCAATTCCGTTTCGTGACTACACCCACATAGATGTTACAATCCACCCATGCAGCAAACCTAATTCAATATAGACGTCTTTCTCTGAAATATCAAATTGCATCAAGACGCCAAACTTGAATCATCAAAACAATTCCCGTTCCCATGAGGGTCTTTCTTCAGAGCAAGGGTCTAAAAAATCACGGCACTGGGCCACTGGTTGAAGTTGTAAAGCGCAGACTTGTTGAATTTGGGTGTAAGCACGTATTCAGAGACTCTTGGGTGACACTGAGGGGAGTAAGGCTCAGACGCATGCCAGATCATCAAGACAAGTTGACTGTCTTGTCATTGTTCCAGTTAAAATTGTAACTATGATTTATTGTGGCATGAGAACCAGCATGCATTATGTCACTTGTCGGAGAGGCAGTGATTCGGTGTGGGTGGATGGGGTGTTGGGGGGGGGGGGTACCTAGGGATATTTATGTATACAGGAAGTGTTCCTGATTTTGGGAATTAGCTCTCACCCCATTGAAGTTCGTAAGGTCGTTATGGTTGTAGTGACACTGGGATAGAAGGGACCGCTGAGATCAGATAAACTAATGGAGGACCATGCGATCATGGCTATCCGTTGCCCATGCTCGGCTGAGACTGCCATAAGAAAGTCCATATGGTTCCGATTTATATAGAAATCTACATGATCAAGACCTTGCTATTCAAACTGACGTTAATGAGTGCAATTGACCTATCGCCGTTTACGAGTTGGCCACGCCCCTTAGACAACCCTAAGGAATTTTGTACATTAAGGTTTGTTTGTCTAAGATTTTGCGCGTCCATTTGTATATCATTCAGCTACCAACACCAGTGCATGAATGGCCAACTCTGAAACAATGAGGGCTAAGTCCCATTGAACTATGCCAGAGTTCGGTGTGGTGACCACGGACTCTGAGGCAGTGTGGCCATGAGACTTTTCCCCTGATGGATCTTGCTACATTTGGCAGGCTTGTCACTTAGTCAAGTGTTGCATGTTGCTATGTCTGGCACGGTTCTGGCAAACATACCCTGGAAGGTTAGGGTTAACGCCATCTAAATGTGTACTAGCATGTTTGGTCACTGGACAAACAGAATCACTAGCATTCTCTTGTCTGTCATATGTCTCTCTTTGTCACCGTTTTTAGCTTATGGATGTTTGTGTACAAAGAACCAAGCATTTTGCCTACTCGTGAAATATGAGTAAATCAAGCAGCACCCTCAATCGTAGTTGTGCACAGCAAATAGCAGATGAATCTCACCTGATCGTTTGACCATCTGTTGGGTATTGTCGGCCGGAGCATTTCTGTACACACCACTTTCTTCATGTCTTCAAACCCTGGATCGCTGGAGACGTACTCAAAGAAAGGCGGCCGGTAATCTTCAACCATACCTGTTCAAAAACAAAGACATAACATTTGTGGATTAATAGTGTGCAATATATAGTTCAAATTTCTGGATGTGTTGATTATAAGTGCAAGTTTGCAGAAACACTGTGATGGAAAATCTCCATTTTCTTGGTATCATATTAACCCTAACTCTCTAGCGTCTTTTACTAGGAACTGAACAAACTAGGAACTGGACAAAGTCCATCAAAATCCATCAATCACTGTGCTTCCAATACAAAACTGTACATGACATAATGGAATCCACCACTGACGCACTGGTTGACATTCATGGACTTGCTACACTTGGCTTTTATCCCAATAGCAGTACAGGAAGCTAGGCAAAATCAATCAGATACCCTAGCACTGCTTCATCCCATTAGGCCCAAGTCCATCATATTCCATCAATATTTAGTCACGCCAGGCCTTCTGGACCAAGTCCCCCAAAATCCACCAAAATAAGGGGATGGATTTTGATGGAGTTGGGGTGGTTAGGGTTAATAACCGCAAATTTTCACTTACAATGTACATGTACTGCTAACCTCAACATGTGAAATTGTCTTGTGAAAATCTACTACAGCCAATGATAATATTCCAGTCTAATGTTGAAAAATATAACTCAGTGACGTCAATTAATGGCATAGTTTCAGTACAGGATATCAATGATCTCCATTTTTACAAAAAAGCCATTTCCTTTCATGCAGTGCATTTCTTGTCAGCCATGAATATATTATAAACATACGACCACCTACCCCCAACTTGGCACCTTCTGACAATTTCCCACAAAACCAGGCCAAAGGCGTAGACGTCTACCCTCTTGAAAGATTCAAACTCGGCTAAATTCATCGTTTCCTCCAGAAGCTCCGGTGCCATGTAACGCTTGGTGCCCACCCGCGACGTGTTCACGCCCAGGTTGATCTGATCCGTCTTGCGCGTGTGCAACACCGCCAGCCCCAGATCGGCGATGCAGCACGTGTGGTTCTCCTTCACCAAAATGTTCTTGCTCTTGATGTCGCGGTGCGCGATGGCCATCTTGCTGTTGTTGCAGAAGATCTCCGTGTGGAGGTGCACTAGTCCCGAGGCGGCCGAAAGCGCCAACCGAATCGTGGTCTTGGGGTCTAAAACGTTCCGGTTGAGGTAGTCGTAGAGCGAGCCAAACTCGTGGTAGTGCGTGATCAACCACAGTTGCGTGCAGGAGTTTCTCGAGGTCATGTCGGATGCGATGAAACCCAGGATGTTATCGTGTCGCAGCATGACGGTGTTGTAGATCTCCGTCTCGCGAAACCACGACTTCTCGTCGATGGAATTGAAGATTTTCACGGCCACGTTTTCGCCTTGCCAGTTGCCACGCCATACTTCACCAAATCGCCCCTTGCCTGAGACAAAAAAAAAAAGGGATGAACTTTGAACAAATATGAGTACTCATATTTACAAAATATATAAGTCTCAGTGAGCAAAGAAACTTGAATCAATATCAGGTCTTTTCAACAATACATCCAACCCTCAGCATTTTACCAAATTGTTGACCATCTCTCATCTGATTTAGCATCAGTCACAAGACGTGAATCTTATCTGATTTGGTGTCAACTTACCGGTAGTACACATGTACCTTAAAATCTTTCCTTTGATTAAATGTCAGATTTTTTGTTTTGCATTCTGTAAAAACATGGACAGAAATTAAACACTTGAAGATGAAAAGAAATTATTCACACCCATTTCTCCATAAAGAGCAGTTAGACAATTTCGCAGACAATTTTACAGAATTATTATTTAAGAAGGTCCAACATCTGTGAAAACAATGCAAAGGCTAGCCTTGATTGACTGGAGCTCTAGAACCTATTCCACAGGGTGGGCCACATGAGATTAGCAAACATGTCCACAAACACTGAAAGGAAAGGAAAAAAAACATGTCTATCTGTGTCCCTGCATGCTTGATTCTCAACCAAAAACGTAATTCTGAAAGTCTTCTCGATATCATAACTAAAATCATCCCCAAAAAAATTGAGCAGGAAACCCCAAAGCCAGTTTCAAGATGCAGTCCAGATTTGAGAGAGTAACTCAATCAAGAAACCATCTGTTCACCAGACTACTGGCCGGTCACCGGACTACTCACCTACTTGCTCCACCAGTGTGATCTGTCTAGCCACGGTCCTCTGGACAAGATAAGGGAGTCCGGAACCGCTACCAGATGTGTTGGAGTGATCAAAAAGATCCTGCATGAGAAACAAATTATTCTTGTATAAAGTACATGTCTCTCTAAGCCACTCGACCCATACTGCTGAGAATACAGGGATGGCGCCAAAAATCACTATGCTAGAAGCATGAACAGTGTTGACAAACCTTTCAGATGGGAAATGAGGGATTTGTTGAAACTATTTCTGTGCCAGATGCAGAATGTGCTTTTGACCTTTATTAGTAAAAGGACTGACCACGCTTTGGATTTACATGTATAAATACCTTTGAACACCAGCGGAAATTGGAGTTTAAATTTCATGATGGTTGGGAAATTGGAGTTCAAATTTCATGAAGGTACATGTACCTTTAAACTAAAACAAGGACTTTGCAAAGAAATTTGTAAAAAGATAATTATAGAAATCACATCCATAAAGGGAACAAAAGTTGACGGAAATTTCATAAAACCTGACGAAATTGAAACTAAAATGTACTAACAAGAAAACTGATGACTCTAATCATCAGCAGGGAAAAAATTGAAGCTGGATATTTTGAACATGTATGAATTTAAAGGTAAAACATCAAATAACAAAACTACCAAATTATTATGAAATACCTTACTTGACTGTGAGTGCATATTAGTCTCAAGCATCCTGTAAATTCATGGCACCTGGTGTGCTGTCATTTTCAAGACAAGTGGAATTTTTGTATCAACTTCCAAGGACTGACTTTTTTCAAATACTGCCACCAATTTACCACATTTACTTTAGTCCACATTGTGTTTGCAATCGGTTACACAACCGTGAACGGGTTCAAGCCAGCTTGTCTTGTTCCCTGACCTGACAATTCCCCTATGTCTATAAGTTGTTCTGCTTCATCTGAAGCAGGGTCAGGGAACCAGACTACAAGAACAGCATTTTTCTTGTTTTTTTTTTGGCCAGCGTCAATGAAGACAAACTCTAAGCAGGTCGGTGTAACTAATATTTGCTATAAAAATACTGACCCCCAAATCCATCGATTTCTGAAAATTACAGCAAAAGCAAGGGATGAGTGAGGAGTTACTCCATAACTTTGGGGTCCCAAAGTATGATTTTTGTGGGTGTAAATTGCCATGCAAATATCATTAAAATTGACTTCAAATCATTTTTCAAATTTGTTTGGCTGGGTATCATTCTTTACATTATCACTCTTGGAGATAGAAGCCATTAAAGAATGTGTCCTGAATTCACAAAATCTTATATCAGTTGTAAGGCCAAAAAAAAAAAAAAGTCGGTCTCTGGTCAGCGCGCGCGTCGATTTTAATCATGCGCGTCGATCTTTTTTTTTCCAAAATGTTCCGCGGTAGCTCCAACAGAGCCCTCTATTTCCGCACCTCCTCAATTTTTTTTTACCAAAGAGCACCAAGGAATGGGAAATTGCACCAAGGCAAATGATCGAAAGCACCAAGGCAAATTATGGAGGACACCAATGTACATGTACATGAGGACACAAAAAAATCAAAATAGTACCCCACCTTGTCTGTACAATCCAAGCTTGAAGAAAAAAAAAAAAAAAAAAGCCGTGTGGCCGCGTCCATTCCGGAACTTTGGTCTGACCAGAGACCGAATATTTTTTGGGGGGGCCTAACAGGGACATCAAAGAAATTGCACCCAAATTAATGGAATGACCCTGATCAGGCTCCGCCCCCTTTCAAGATCACAGTATGTATGCCTCGTCAATCGTCGCCCCCTACAAACAATAAAGGATAGCCGCCATGACTAAACAGAAACCGGCTCCCGTAGATGCATGTCGCTTGGCAGGCTGGCGGAACATTGAATACGGATGTGCCTTCCTCTACCTCTACGCCTTATTAAAACTCCTGATCATAGCCAAGACAAGGTCTGACTGACGTACGCATAGTTACACGGTGAAAAAAAAAGGAGGAGGTTGGATGAGACTTGATTCCAGTAGTACGGTGACGGGTTTAAGACAGGTGTGGTAACACACAGCACCTTGGGTTAGTGACCAGACCGTTGGGGAGGTAATGGGGTGGGGAAACTAGGCTACAAGAGCTTACATATGGGACATCTGGCCTAATCTTGTTTACTGTAGCGTTTACCATTTGTAATACTATAGGCAATCTGTTTTTGACATCAAGCTTATTATACAAGGATGTTTTGTATGAGAGAAATTTCATGTCTCAAGCCAAGCTGTGGGGGAAATTGAAAGCCAAGTGTGCAGGATTGATACATTCAGAGCATAGCCAGCTTCTTAGAATGTATGTCATGGAACATTTAGCGAGTAAAACAGTGTCATCCGTTCAGCTTTTCGTGTTGGCTTATTACAAAGAGAAGGCAATTGTAAATAACTACAACACAAAAAGAATGTGCATTTTCTTTTGTTGTAACTTGAAGAGAACTGCATACATGTATTTAAAAAAAGAAGTGAAGTATAAATATTTTACATGAACCGGTATATCAAAAACTGCATACTACAATCAGGACAGCGAACAATGAATCAACTGTTTTTCTTCAGACCCCGTTTTAAATTTTTCACAGCTGTAGGTCGTGACGCACGCCCTGATGCATCACCAAATCCACAGATGTCTAAAGCTGCTGACTATTGCTCAAAGGTCAGCTTGACAAAACAGCTTTGTGGCCAAATATGCTAATAAATACAATAGAGTCTTACGATGCATCTAAGAAGTTTAAAGGTAGAGTGGACCATTTGCATCTATCCAAAAAGTATCCAATCAAATTATCGTTGAAAAGCATACTTGGTTTATTAAGATAGTAATGGCACTAAACTCCCTGTGAAATTATTCCTTCTGGCATGCTGTTATTTTGAAGAAAATAATCACAGAAGGTCATTCCCAAAAGATGCATCAAGTGACACATTTTTGGAAATTTGATATTATTCGTAAGAATCGTCGGTTCAGTGTGTGACATCATGTAGCAACAAACAGCTGAATGAGAATCATGTCCCCAATGCTGATTTGGGGATTGAGTCATGACTAAGCAACTTTTGAATTGAAATCGAGATCCAGAATATTGTGTTTTCTTGAAATATACAGCATTCACAGAACTAACGCTTCATCAGGTTAGTTTTGTCAGGTTAGTTGTTACATGTAAGCACCCGTCTTTAGATTCTGCGCACTTCTGTTGCTTCAAACGAAAACAATATCGGGTCAAGTTCCAAACGATCTACTTCACCTTTAAAGTTATTCACTGCAATGTTTTAATAATTTTTCCTAACCCTATGCAGTATATTAGGCACTTTGTAATTCAATGACATTGGTTCTTCAAACCCCATGTACATGTACACATACATGTACATGTACATGTAAAATCCAGACAGGAATCCACAAAAGGACTGCAAAACCACCGGACAGGGTTAATCATCATGATATGCATACTGGTTATATTCAAACCAACTTTTAGAGTGCACAGGTACCATCTTGAGATCACGAGGGGCATTGGAGGCGTATCCCTCGGGAATATTTTATGAACATACATTCAAACAAATCTGAGTGTACTGTCCCCAGCAGGCACTGCCCTGAGATTGTGAGGGGCATGGTGGGTGTATCCCTCATGAATACGAATATCTGATGAATATGTATATATTTAAATAAAACTTGAGTGTACCATTCCCGGCAGGTACGTCACTGAACCCATGCAATTGCAGGGTATGGTGGGGGTATCCTTGCATACATTCAAACAAACCTTCAATGGTCATGAGGAGCATGATGGGCGTATCTCTCATGAGAATGAATATTATGTTATGAATATGCATATTTAAACCAACCTTGAGTGTACTTTCCCCAGCAGGAACAGCCTTGGGATCATGAGGGGTGTATCCCTCATGAATAGCTTATGAATATGCATATATTCAAACAAATCTTGAGTGCGCTTTCCCCAGCAGGTATTGCCCTGTGTACAGTACATGAGGGTCATGGTGGGCGGTACCCTCATCAATATGATATTATGAATATGCATATTATGAATATACTTGTTTCAAACAAACCTTGAACGTACTGTCCCCGGCAGGTATTACCCTGAGTTCATGAGGGGCATGGTGGGCGTATCCCTCATGAATATGAATATCTTATGAATATGCATTTATTCAAACAAACCTTTAGTGTACTGTCCCCGGCAGGTACGGCCCTGAGATCATGAGGGGCGTGGTGGGCGTATCCCTCATCATTAGAGTTGAGCTCTCGTAGCCGCTTCTTGTGCATCCAACGGTACATGAAGACGGCGAAGGATATACCAATGACTAGAGCCAGGAAGGGACCCACTACAGCCATGGCGAGGTAGGCGACGTTGTAGGGAAGAGATTCCCTTGGTTCTGCTGGAAAGGGCATGAAGCAAAAGGGCTTTCGATTATTGAAGTCCTGAAATATTGACAATAAATTTTAGTATGCATGACGAGATTCATCCAGATTGGGAGTCAGGTTGGAGCATTGGTACTCTCCCATGCCTTGCACCTCTGTGACCCTGGTTCCACTCCCTTCTACCCCCCCCCCCCCAGCCCCCCTCGACCCAAGGTGAGCAGGTAGATTGGGTTATCATTTCCAAGCTAGTTCCTTGGCTTCCCCCTGGAATATTCTTCAGTTGTTTCCCTCCCAACTCTAAAACTGAACAGTTTTATTCATCATCCTCTTCTTCTTGTTTTTTTTCTCAGGTTTCCATGTTTGATACCGTGTCTCTGTATTCCTTGTTTCGTTTTCAAGGAAAAAATAACATAAAATAAAAACAGAAATAACTCCATGAGGATATGAATCAATGCAGTAGGCATCGTAAATGTAGAAGACAATTGTTTAACTTTAAGTGGGAGGGAAGGAGGTGAGAGTGGGTGTGGGAAGGACAAAAAAAAGGGGGTTCCAAGTTCCTGTAAAATGTCAGACTGAGACCAAATTATTCATTTCCTCAGTAGAGAGAGAGCTGATCACAATTTGAAACATTCCTGTTCCTTCCGTGATGTTCCTTTTGGGAATACTGTGTTCACAATATTTTCCTTACTTTTCCAGGCCATTCCAATTGATTAAGGCACATGTTCTTGATTTCGGTAATTCCGGGTGCAAGGTTTGTGTCATGCTCAGATATGACAACTGAGATATGACAAGTTGTTCCTGATGAATCTGGGAATGTGGAACTGCTAAATCTGCAGTCTGTATTTCTTATAAAAACAAGTGGACTTCATTTTGAGTTGAAACTATTGGGGCAGGAAACTGAAGCAGAAGGGTAGATTTTGAGGGGTTTTTGTTTTGTTTATTTTGTGGGTTGATTTTTATTTTTTTCTAATTTTTGGGTGGGGTGGGGGTTGAGATGAAACAAGGACATAATCAAACCTTTGGGCTTCACTTACATAACAAAACTACAGGGGATGTGAACCCTAACCCTCCTCAATCCTCCAAAATCAACCAGGCAGTTTTTGAAGGATTTTGGAGGATTGAGGCTGTTTGTTTTGGAAGATTGAGGCTGTTTGCCATTTTAGTGCCAGTTAATTTTGAAGCATGCATTGTGTCATGGTCTTAAGCTGTACCTTGTGTTGTTTATGCTTAGCCATGCACAAATTACATTTGTATGCCTAGATTACACTACACGTAGGCTGCTTCTGGACATCATCGGCAATTCCTCATTGTACTGCAGTGATTGTTGGAGGATTTTGAAGGATTGAGGCAGTGGCCCCCCCCCCCCACCAATATTGAACAAATGCAAGAAATAACGGATGATTTTGGAGGAATTGAGACTGTATCCAATTTTTACATGATGGCAGTGGGAAGATTTTGCAGGATTGAAAATGGATCCCAGCCAAAGGGACCTAGGCAGTTAGGGTTAAAGGGAATGTACATCATTGGCTTTTGCTGTAATTTTCGGAAATGAACTATTTTGAGGGGTTAGTATAACAGATCAAATATTGTTACACTGACATGTTTGAAGTTTTGTGTTCGAAAATGCTGGAAAAACCAAGAAAAACCAAACTGTTCAATTAGTCTGGTTCCCTGACCCCACTAAATATAAATGGATCAATTTACACATGCCGGAAAATTGTAAGGTAAGGGTATCAGTCTATCTGGCCTGCACCCGTTCATGAACATGTAACCAATAGCAAACAAAATTTGGACTGAATTAATGGTAAATTTGGAGCAGTAGTTGAAAAATAGTTAGGTTTTTCCAACGGTGGTCGGCCGACCACCGCTGGAAATTTTTACAAAAATACCATTTTCTTGAAAATGACTTCACAGCAGGTGCCATAATTTTACAGGATGCTTTACACTGTCATTTACCAACATCCTATTAAGGTATTTCGTAAAAACTTGGTAGTTTTATTTTTCGATGTTTGCAAATGTTGTATATTCCCTTTAAGCAAGAAAATTTAACTTGACAAGTTCTTTCTTTTTTTACTCACGTAATGGCGTAGTGGGCGGGACAGCAGGAAAGGTCGGCACAATGTTCTGATTGCACATGTCTCCTTTACAGCAAACCATGACCACGTCTTCACCAAAGTCACTCTTACAGTACATGTGACTGAGCTGTATTGTGTTGAAGCAACCCTGTAGATTATCATGGAAAAAAAAATATAAACAGAACTGTTGAAATCACCCGTGAGATTGGGAGAAAATAATAATCCATGAAATATTGGCGGAGGGTCAACAAAGGCCCCAGAGTAGTGTTGGGCAAACCCGACCCGAACCCGAAGACCGACTCGACTTGAAACCGACTTTGGTTTCGGTTTTGCATTTGCGATTTTCGGGTTGGGTAATGTCAGTTAAGCCATTTTGATAAAAAACCTGAAATAAACTGAAATAAACTCCCCCCCCCCCAAAAAAATGACACAGTTCGGAAATTCACATGGTGCCATATTTATTGCAGAGTCACTGTGCCCAGTTAGACCAAATTCGTTTGTGACCTATCACGCACGGTCTATAACATGTAGGCCCATCAGTAGGCCATGTTGCAGGTACCGTACGGTATGATTAATTTACTGAGAGACGACCATTTTCAAGCGACGCGGGTAAGTTCAGGCACAAAAAGTGGACACAGTTGCCCTAGCTAGATATTCAGGTTTTTCGGGTCGGTTTGGGTCGGTTTTCCTTGAATTTTTGTCGGGTCGGGTCGGTTTTAGGTAGTTCAGATCGGTTCGGATTCAGTTGATATCTATAATGTTTCGAGTCAATTTGGCCTGGTCAACTCGACCCGATGAACAACACGACCCCAGAGCGACACAGGGTCTATGGTATAAACAATCAGTTTTTAAAAAAATACTGAAAAACTAGAATTCCATATTTCAAAAGGGATTCCTAACCAATTTCTGCAAAAAAACCTGAGAAATCTCACCCGACAATTGCAAACATCTGGTTGGTTTAGTCAAAGGAAACTTTTCCCAAACACAAACATTATTTTTTTGCAGTCAAAATACAGAACACACTTTATTTTGCATATTAAAAAAATGGTAACATCTCCTTTCTAGATCACTTTTGAGCTAATGGCACCAATGAAAAACGAAGTTATATCAACTATTTTTACGTCTTTATAACTGACAGGGTGGATACTTCATTTTCAACAACACTCTTGTTGATTTACATGTGGTACTCTTCATTTGTCAACAAGGATGTTTGGGAACTTTTTGAAAGGATCTTCTGGCCTTGAACAAACTATTAAAAACTGTGGATATAAACCGAAAAGTGTTCAAACATTCCAAACAATATGAAATGAATGGAAGTGCAACTTTTTTGTATTTCAGTTTTTTTTCACAAAATGCAGTAGACCTTAGAAAGTGGTCCGTGCGACCTTGCAATGCAATAAAAAAAAGGCCCAGTGATCCCCTTAGGCTAAGCCCTAAACATACCTTTCTCATATACTCAAATCCGTTCTCGTCGATCCTGAGCGAAGCGTAGCAGCTTATGGCGTCAGTGCACCGCGAGTTCTCACTGTTACAGCCCACGTCGTCGCACTCGCACTCAAACGTGGTCTCGTTGCTGAAGATCGGTTTGGCACTTTCCTCCGCCATCGTGGTCTCTGTACTATCACCTGAATAATAAATTAAAAACAAAACAAAATTCATTAAAACCTTTAAAATAAAAAAAAGGGCAAAAACTCAGATTTATATTCCAGATCCGTGGCGTGAACTTTCAAAATGCTTTCAACTCTTCCTACATTGGCGGATTCTGGTGCTTCTGTCAAGTACATCTGTCAGTCCACCCTCCATCATTTAAAGTGTTTGTCTGTTAACTGTTCTTAACGAACAAGAGCTTCTATGAATGTTTTAAAAAAACCAAGGTTTAGTACCAAGAACTGTGCACATTTACCAATAGAAGTGTTTTGCAGCTAAGAAGTGTACACGCACAGATGTTTTTGACAAAACTCTTTTAAACTTCAAGAAGCTTGTCCGCTTGGCAGCAAGTCTCTGTTCACACATATGTGCAACCTAAAGTATCAAGAATCCGGGCAGGTTAGCCAACATGAAGTGTTGTGCAGTTAACAAGTACGTACACGCACAAATGCTCGAGACAAAACACTTTGAAACTTCAGGAAACTTGTCTGGCTGGCAACAAATAAGAGAAGTCACTACTCATTGGACGTGCTAACATGATCGGTTCCAAGTTATCCAGGTATGAACACAGGAATTACATCACTACCAGGTGCCAGAAGTCATACAGTCCCGGACTAGGTCCCCGAAGAACCCAGCATTTGTTTTCAATCTTTCAGAGGTTGGATCCTTTCACCTTTCTAGGCCAATTTATGTCGGGGGAATTACAAGTCCATGTTCATGTGAGGGTTACATGGGATTAGTCATTTTATTTATGGCTGGCGGGGTTCAAGAAAAACAGTGTCATAATCCATTTTTTTTTTTTCACAGCGATTTTTCCACAAAGAAGAGATCAACACCACAATGGGATATCTAGTTTGAGAATATGCTGAATCTTATGAAGAAACAATTACAATGTTTAAAATTGAGAAATAAAAAAGAAATGCGGCTGACTGCTTTCAAAATTGACAATTTGCTAATAAGGAATATATCTGAGCTTGGACATGCACACGTACCGGTATGTATATGACACAAACTAAAGTTGGAAGTGCAAGTGAGAAACTTGTACATAAATGCAACACAAATTTGCAAGTCACATGTACCGTACACGGACATGCACATTTTTTTATATGTACACACTTACATACATACATACATGTCATGTAGACACATGTACGTGCATATTGTACATTTACAAGTACTGTACATGTACAACAGTACATGTAGCTTTCCAAATACGATCACCTTCATACATACATGCACATGTGTACAAAATTTATATCAAGTGGTACGACAATACATTTGTTCAAATTCAATGGTGTGTGACGCTCACTTGATTTAAAAGTACATGTACATTTATTAACTACGACAAGCAATAACTTTCTGCACGCAAGGCCGAAAAATTCTTTAAAAAACTGACAAGCCGTGACATAACCCGATAGCTTATTCAAAGCGTGGTCCAGCAAGCCGGTAAATTTACACACTGTGTTGGTATTCATTAACTTCCCTGTAATCAATATGCCTAGCCACGATAACATTTCACTGTCTTGATTACATTGCTTAACCGAATCGCTTTTCACTCGGACACAAATAAGTATTCATCGGTATTCGCCGCAGCCTTACCTTTGGCTTTCAGAGTATGAACAAACGGGTTAAACGGCGCCATGATTTCTCCCGAGTTTACAAAAAAATACGCCGCCTATCCTTGAAGATAATCTTCCAGAACTTGTTAAATAATCCGAGTCGGGGATAGGTTATGAAACCACCCAGCAGTTTGACTTTTTTAATCTGACCGAGGTATGAAAATCCACACAACTCCTGGCAGGCTTTTTTGGAGCAGTTGATGGAAAGGCGATAGTCAATGCCGAAATGGAAACCTCAGGAAATGATGAACATGAGAGAAACAAAAACGTCGGGTTGATTCCAATCCTCCAGACATGGCCTTCTCTGGGTCGTTTCAGATGACTTGGAACAACGCTTCCAGCAAACCCTTTTTCCCCGATTTCTGCAGAAGAAAGTCAAGGGGAAACTCTGTTTTGAGAAGGGAGGAATTCAGCGGCTGTTGCTGATGCAGTTGCCAATGTCCACACTGCGTGTTGTCACAAACTCTCGGGCAGAAACTGCACAGTCCATTCAAAGAGGATTAGCAATGTGTGGTAGGTTGTATCATCAGCCCTCCGAACACAGAAACACACACATCATCACTCATTAGCGCGTCCCGTGTCAGGTTTTTGACATACTGATTTCATCAACTAATGCACAGTCATTTTTCGATCCAGCAGGCACAATAGGAATCTTTGATGTCGGACCGTTCACAGGAATCTACAAACTGCAGCCAACGCTGATGTTTTTGCAGCGAAACCAAAAAAAGGCTGATGAGAAGAAAGTCTAACTCCCGAGGCAGTGTTTTTCCCCCACTGACTGAATTTCCTTCAGTGTGAAAACAAGCCCAGGTTTCTCTTTGTATTGTTCTGTAAAGCTTTAACTTATGAGAGAGAACCACACAAGAGCTTCTAGAGTCACACAACTTCCTCCTTGAATAGGCTGTAACTGACTGGCTTGGGTATTGGGTCCGGTCCGCTGTGTGCCAACACAAACACTGAAGCCCAGTGCTGTACCACGGATCTTGGGATTACAGCCCATGTGGGCTCCCAGCACACCTGCCACGGCTCAGCGCCCACTTGAAAGACAGCCAGAGAGAGCCAGAGAGGAAGGCTAGTGGGAGGGTTAACAATAGGCGTTCATTCAGTCCTCTTGCATCCTTGGGTGAAGCCAATGTACACACTCAGGCATGCCGATACAAGAGTTGTGGAGATTTGAAGGAGTTGAGGTGAGGGGGGGGGGGGGGGTGTGGAGAGTTGCCTGCACTCTTTAGTCCCCCACCTGGCCAGCCTGAAGAGATAACCAATGAATGGTTCTGTCAGGGCCAACAAAAGGCCCCCTGCGAATCTAGGTTTTTCACCCCTCACAATCAGCTCAGATCTTTTCTTCCCTTCACACCTCTGCATTGACATGCAGTGGGACATGCCAAACCAAAAAAAAAAAATAAAAGAAAGAGACGCATTAAGCTATAGGGGCGTTACTCTTCTGTTCCTATTGTGTCCGAAGTCAGTTTCTTCCAATACCCGACTGCAGCGCGAGTGTCCGTCCATGTATTGAACGGATGAATATGCTCGCTGGCCGACCGTAAACAATAGAGCCCTGTGAATGGGGTCCACTGGGTAATCGTCTTAGTGAAATCAATCGGCTATACACCGTCCAATTTTACCAATCCCCGTAGCAGAATGCGAAGGTGTCTGGCCCCATTGTCCGAGGCGTTGGGCTATTTGCTCCCTGTGCATTCATCGGGTTTCTAATAATCCCAAAACCCAAAGCCCAAGAGAGATCGAAACCTTCAAAAAGTTAAATAACACCGGAGCGAGTGCGCAGGTGGTGGACAAAAGGGACCAGGGTTGGGATGGAGAGGGTATGGAGAGGGCTACTTGTGGCTCCAAGAGGGCAAAGGGGGGACATCTTGAGCGGATCTGAGTGGTTTCAAGAGGGTTTTTGGAGGGAAACACTGCTGAATGCGCAGGACTCTTCAAACGTTTGAAGGTGGGGCAAAGTGGACCATAAACCCATGGGAATATTTAGTTGCTCCATACATGGGACCTGATGGAAGATCTCTAGCAAAAACTAACAACCCAACACACGTACACCAATACGGTACATGTACAAAATAGCGGCAGACCCACAGGGAATAACTCTTCTACATTTTCCTAGGAATATTAGACCACAAGCAAAACCAGCCAAACATAACAAGTGTCAATCATTCTGTTGAAAAGTTACCGGTATATGCACCTCAAATGTGAAATAAAGTATGAATCTAATTTAAATGTGGATGTACACGTACATGTACACTTGTTTTACAAACCTTCTTCTAATTAGAGACATGTAAAATTGTGTTCATGTACATGTACATGTACATGTATGTATACATGTAAAAAGAAACATCATGTAAGTGTACATGTAAAAGGAAATTACATGTTCATAATGTATACCTGTAATAACAAGCATTTATAGACTGCCCTTACAATTACACATGTACACATAAGGTATCACAGCGCTTAAGGGAAAATACAACATTTGCAAACATCAAAAAATAAAACTACCAAATCATTTTGAAATACCTTGCTGGACTGTTAGTGAATGACAATGTAAAGCATCCTGTAAAATGACAATGTAAAGCATCCAAGAAAAGTGGTATTTTTGTATCAATTTCCAACGCTGGTCGGCCGACAAGCGTTGGAAAAAACTGGCTTTTTTCAAATACTGGCCCCAATTGACCATCGCACTTGTTTGCAATCGATTACACACCTATGAACGGGTACAAGCCAGCTAGATTGGTTCCCTGACCTTACAATTCCCCAATGTATAAACTGCTCTGTTTCTTCTTATATGGAGTCAGGGAACCAGACTACAGGAAAACGATTGTTTTTCTTGGTTTTTATAGCATTTTCGACTCCAAAACCTCAAAAAAGTCAGTGTAACTATATTTGCTATGTATATTTCCAACCCCCCAATTCCATCCATTTCTGAAAATTACAGCAAAAGCAAATGATGTATATTCCCTTTAACAGCAAAGTAAGTTACAGAAACAAAGACTCATAATTAGTGAAAGCAGTGACTGCACATTATGTAAAAGGCATATGTACCCATGTACATGTACTTGTGCATGAAGAATGCCACTGAAACAGACATCACAGTCCAAGAACATTCGGTGCTAACAAATATTATCTGCTTCCCAAATTGATGTACATGTTCATGTACGTACAATTTACCATATACATTGTATTCAATCCACAATCGAGAAAAGGTCCATCAGAAAAAAAAGGTGATTTTTTTTCAAGTCAAAACCTGTCAACCCAAAAACCCTTCTAACTCAATGTAAAAACTTATTCCCGTCAATTGTTGCTGAACAGAAAATCCATTGGATGACTCAAAACTCTGCTTAACTCAAAATTTGAGCCTACCGTATTCCTCTGAGGTTTGAACTTATCAAGATTACTGTACATGTACATAAATGTATGTACCTTAAATTTGAATAAACCTTCCCATGCCACATACTTCACCAATTGTCAGTTTCTCCCCCCCCCCCCTCTTCCCCTCCCTCAAGACAATCTTTTTCCAACACTTCGGTTGGGATTTACACGAAATACTCGAACCGCCATCCCCATTGCCTCAAGAAACGAACAAGGAAAAAAGGAAAAAAAACACGCACACACAAACTGACTGATAAATCCACCGAAGCCTGAGAATTCCGAAAGCCAATGACCTGAGATGGCATATCCCTCCAGTCCAGGTGTTTTGCAAATTAACAAACGGCCCAGGAATGTTATTTTGTTACTTAAGGGCTTTTTTTTTTTACTTCTTTGAAACATGGGGATTGCTCACCTCTGAGTAAGCAATGCGGCAGAATATTACAGAATTTTTTGAAAAAAACAACTTTTTCACTGTGGATTTTGGGTCACTTACGGATATGAACATGGAACTGGGATTTACACAAAGTACATGTACATACATTGTATGTACCGTACATGTTACAAGGCCTACATACATGGGTGGTTATTTACAGGAAAAAAAAAAGTTTTATAATTGTATCATTCTCGGTACATATTTCTCGGTACAATATTCTGCAAAGTACATAGTATGTACATTTTTCTAAGATCTTGATTTCAATTCAAAAGTTGCTGAGTCATATTTTGAATTGTGCCTGAAATCAGCATCCAGAACACATTTTCATTCAGCCAATTGCAGCTACGCGATGTCACGCACTGAACCGCAGAATAACAGCAACCGCACGCGTGTGCGTCGTGTCAACGCTTGCGCGCACCCATTCACGGCTTCGTCCAATTACAAACCAACTACTAACAGAAATTTTCAAAAAATGTGTTACTTGACTCATCTTTGGAAATGACCTTCTTTGATTGCTTTCTTCAAAATGACAGCATGCCAGAAGGAATAATTTCACAGTGAGTTTTCACTATCTCTACACCAAGTAGATTTTTAACTATAATTCGGTTAGTTAATTTTTGGAGAGCTGCAAATGATCTACCTTTAAAGGTAAACCGTGCCCGAGAAAAGTAGACCTCTACATAAAGCACACCTGTATGCATTCACGTCCGTGTCCACCTGGCGGCAATGATACATAAAGGAAACCCAGGTCTACAACGGAAGGATGCAGAGCAGCGCAGGACTACCCCCTAGGTACATGATCATGTCAAGAGGGAGGGAGGGAGGAGGGGGGGGGGGGGGTGTGGGAGAGATGTCTGGACTAGACAATTGCCAAGTTGAAAAGGTAGAAGTTGACCACTTGAACTTATCACCTACAAGGGCAAACTACATGGGGCTATTTGCCAGTGTTAGAGTCGAGTCACTTGAGTCCGAGTCTTGATTATTTTGAAATTATGGTTTTAAAAGATATTTTTGGTAAAAAATATTGTCACTCGCGAGTCAAGAGTCATTAGCTTCAAGTCCAAGTCATGACAGTCGAGTCTGAGTCCGAGTCTTCTGCTGATGTGACTTGAGTCGAGTCTGAGCCACCCCAATGGACCGATCCAGTAAGCACCGCCCCATGGTGTACTGACCAATCACAGCCGTGATTTATGTCCGACGTGCGTGCACAGAAGTCCGACATGCGTGCACGCGCATATGATGCGTGCGGCAGGAAAATGCAGCGTGGCATTGGAGAGGAGCACGTGGTAATTTACCCACGTGCGCAGTGGGCGGGGCTTACTGGATCGGTCCATTGCAACTAGAGATGGACTTGAGTCCGAGCCCTGGACTTGAGTCCAACAACACTACTATTTGCTTCGCATAGATTCTGCTAGGCGCAGATATTTGCTTCGCTCACAGAAATTTGCAAAGGACAGATGTACGTGAACATGTGGTCAGAAGTTGAACATACGTTCCTAGCGCAGAAGTTCACTAGAACAAACATCTACTAAAAAGAGAAACTTTTGAAGCACTAAAACAATTTGTTATTTTAGGAAAAAAGGTTACCAGCCAATATGTACGGTAATGTGATGTACATGTATGCAAAGCTTAAGTGACTGGTTTGCAGCTGTTCACACAGAATATAACTATACATGTACATGTAAATGTACATGGACGTGCATTTAAAGTTCTAGTATAATCATCGTTCAAAATTGGTAACGTTTTAGAATGAAGTAACCTATTCCCTAGACCCAACAAGCACAGTACATGCACAGCTGTATACATGTACATGTACATGTACCGATCTTGAGGACATCACGCCACTATCTGTGTGCTCTAGGTGTGACTGTCCATGGCACTGGAGTGATTAGGAAGACACAAGAGAAAAAGAGATCCAATCGATTAAAAGCATCAGGCCCGCACTGGACCTTTAAAGTGATCTGACACTGTTAAGATGGGCATGTGTATGATTGGGCACAACCTGTCTGATGCATGTGTCTTTAATTAGGATCATCATTCCCAGATAATGCGAATATAACGAAAAATATCACAGCCAGTGACTGATCGGCACAGGTTTACTAGAACTGAACATCCCTAGACATTAATGACTTGCTTTGACTGATCAATAAAAAAAAATTGTCTGTCTCGTCCTATTAACGGCAAAGGGAGTGCATTTAATAACGACCGCGGGATTCGCCGCGTCACTTGTGGCTTATTATTACAGTTAATATTTCTATCTTTCGGCAAACTGATGTGAAATGGGCAGGAAACGTTGCCATTTGTCACGCGCCGGGGCCGCACCGCGGAAAAAAACTA